CGGTTGGACTTGATGATCTTAGAGGTCTTTTCCAACCTAAATGAGATTCTATGATTCTATATCCTATTCTTGGATCCTATTCTTGGTTCTGGTTTCTTGCCACATCTAAAATTGCCCGCCACTGAATTTGGGGGAGGAAGAGATATTTTACTATCTTTACCATGTCTTGTTGCCACTGCCAAAGTCTTGGCTGCAGGAGAGACTATTCTGCTGTCGAAGCCTGGGACTGTGCCCCAGGACCGGTGGTCTGCTGACCAGCATGGCCAGTCCATCATGACGATGCTGAGGGGAGAGCTGATTTTGACAGCTCTTCCCTCTACAGCCCATGCATGTATGAGTTATGAAGTGGGATAAAACTTATGCGGGTCTCTGGTGTAGTAATGGGCCAGTAAAGGTGGTGGATGTTCCTACACACTCTGCCTGCCATCCTAGGAAAAACTTGAGGTTATCAAATGGGCTTTACTGTAGAGAAAACATCAACAGACAAACTTTCCTGGAGTAAGGATGATTCATCCAGAGATTATCTGTTTGAGTCTGACAAATCCCTGCTTTTATGCTCTTGCAGTTTCTCTCCTCTCCCTACTGCAGTCATCCTAGGTTTTCTTCAAATTTCCTTCAAACCCAGACACCGTTAGGCTGCATTAAATGCCTACAGGCTGCCTGACTGAACTGGAAAGTCAAAATTACATTGCCCACCCAGCAATCTTGCTGGTAGAGCAACACAATGGCTGTACTGCATGGACCTCCTAAACAGTGATCCACCATGTCACCTCATCTGTAATCCTTCTGGTCCCTCAGTCCATGGGGACACACATGAAGCTGAGTATTGAATTTAGCCAACTGTTCCTGGGCTCTGTTGCCTTCTCTGACTGTACAAGCAATGGATGAAACTGCATTGCTCAGTGGCACTCTCAACACAGTCATTGTTGAAGTACAGAAGGTACATCTTGGAAATCTCCTAGATTTTGAGGGGTGGAGATCTAACAATGTTTTACATTTAAAAAAAAAAAAAATCACTATATAAAGTGGTTTTACTGAGCTTTTCTTTGAAAGTAACATCTCTGGAATGAAACAGCCTGTGGCTGTTGGAATATATGGAAGAGATTTGAAGAGGTACTTAAAGTACCTTTTGAACGGAGTTTTTCAAATTGATGATGGGGGAGAAAAATGTGACTATGCAAATATACCTTGAAATTTAAGCTAGAAGTATGCATGTTGTAATTGTCATACAATAGAAATAAATGGAAAAAAGCAATTAAGCCAAATGCCCTCACTTTCTGGAATACAGAAAACTCACTTGCACATTTGGCTGTGTTGGGATGAAAGATTATACTTCTTCAATGGTTCATCTGCTGTGGAAACTGGGATCAAGAGATTAGGACTTCAGTGAACTGGACCTAATGCTGGATGTAATGTTTTTCATGTCAGTGGAACTCTTTGGGTCCAAGGACGGCACAGAACTGAGAGGGTAAAGGCCTTAATCGGAGCCTGTACATTAAACCCACTTTGGAATCAAGTTTCTTCCTGTAACAGGGATGTCTCACCAAAGCTAGTGGGTCTGTATATCACCTTAACATTCACCTTTTCAGGATCATAGGCATAAGTGTTAAACAACATTTCCAGCAAGGTCATGCACACATAGGGCAAAAGTGTGCATGAGGAGGAAGCGTTAATACAGAAAGACGTGATGGTAACTGTTACATTCTACGAGTATGCGCTTTTTTAGTGGAGAGTAAGCAATGTTCCCATGAGGAAATATCTGTGAGACAGAACTTGAACATAAACCAAAGGCTGGTGGAGCAGCGTCAGCAGCATCTTCCCCTGCTTTATACTCATTAGTTTAATGGTTTCGTTCATGTATCCGTATGTCAAGACAACTAGTGACTGCTTGTATTTATTGTGAGAAGTTCTGCCAATGTATAATATTCATCAAATTTTGGGTTTGTCCAAAACGGGTTTAGTCTTATCCCTGCATAGTGTTGTGAGGTGTCAGACCTCAGTGACCAGGATTCTCTGTGTAAATCATAATTGTTAATTGCAGGTTTCTTTCTAATTTTGTATGTGATCTTTACATACTGTATTTATCTCTTCTACTTCTCCTTTTTTATTATTTTGTAGGCTACTTAATGCATGAATTCCACAAATTCTGGATTGAAGAGGATCCACTGGACATAATGGAGTTCAATCGTGTCAGAGAGAAGTTTCACAAGCGAATCTTGAAACAGCTTCAGAACCCAGAGATGGCTCTGTGCCCTCATTTTGCTGCATCAGAAAGTTTAATCAATATGTAGTTACTCACTCGATTTTATTTGGAAACACTGTGTCACTCCTGTGTTAGATCACTGTTTAGACCGTCACTAGCATACTGAATGACCATGGCAATTGTATGCATGTTTCTGGTGTACTATTCATCTATTTTTGTCACACATTCTAGATCCCCTTATGTTTCTCTTGTTGGGGATTTCTCATTTTAAATGGGTGCTCATATTGCGGCATTATGCAGTGTTACATTCTGAATTGATGTCCAGTTATCAGAGTTCTTCTATTTTTTTAGACTTTCCTCATAATTCAGCATTGACAATTGAATTGTATTTCTCTAGCTGTGTTTTTGTATATGTGGAATAAGTAGCTGGATCTTGTATTGTGAAAGCTTTTTAACTTCTTGGTATGTTTTAAGATAAGTACTGGTATTTCAAACGAAGTATATGTTTGGACCTCGTCTAGAAGATAATGTGTGTTATTTAATCTGATGCAGGCAAACACATTAAAGTCCAATTTTCTCCATGCAGCCATATATGCTTAATGCAGAATTAATGAGGCTTATGAGATCCAAGTTTCAGTGAGAAGTTTGTGCAGAATTACAATCAGACTCCACAGCTGCATGAATACCAAATAGTCTAATGATGCTAATACATTCACACTGAACTGCAAATACACTCACAACTACTGGATACTGGTAGGGGCCAAAAATGATATCATCAGGCTGTTGTCACCAACACCACCATGCTGAAGCACGGTCTAAATTCCTGCACATTCCTTTAAATATACAGGGGTTAGTATTTTGTGCTGCATCTTGGAAGGCAACATGATTTGGTCACATTGTGCTTGGTGAATTCAGGGGAGCAAAAATCTATATATTTTTTTTGAACTACTGAAAATGTTGCTTTGGTTGTCAATTGAGTTCCTAAGAACTGGGAGAAATAATTGATTGGAAGGTTTAGAGCAAAAAACACTTGAGTTTCCCAGACTACTTATAAAAAAAAATTAAACATGGCCAATTGCCTTTTTTCTAAAAACATAAATGAATAAAAGTTTCTGACGCTAAGATTGTGTAGTATATCGAACAGCAGCTACCATGGCATTTCATACCCATGGTATTTTTTACCTTCTAAGCAATCAATTTTAGTATTATACGTGTAAATCACTTGCATATGGAGATTAAATTGAGTAGTGTCCAACTACTTGTGAATTATATGAATAAATTATATGTCATTCTAAACTGAAGCACTGTGGGTTTTATTTTTGAGATATGCAGTAATACAGATGAAAGCTATTTTATTTTAATGGATCAGGTAAAAAGGGATGTAACAGCTTTGTGGTATTTTCCTAGTCTGAAGAGTGATCTGAACTTCCTTGGATCAGGTTCTTTATACCATTTCTAGTTACAGCTTGGGCCATCACTTTATAAGTAAAAAATAAAGCAATGGGAGTGGTTAAAGTTCTTGGGAAACTCCTTCTTGGATTTAAGCCCTCTCATTTCTTTGCTAAAATGTGAGATGAGGATCAGGACTTCTCTGCAGGGCTGGAAACTTGCACTCATTGCAGAGTTAATCAGCAAAACTCTATGGGTGTTGTGATAATTAGTCTTCTCCAATGAATTTGGAAATATGGAACTGGAAATATTAACTATTGCATATTTTGCATGAAAATACAAGGAATAAAAACTGCATGTTTAACTTACTACCATTGATTTTGGAAAGTGGTTGTTCATAATCATTAGCTATCGAGGACTTCTTTGTGTCACTCTTGAAGCTTCAGAAATAAGTTTCTAGCAACCGTTTTCATTGTTTCAAATCTTAGGCTCTCGCTTTCTTTCCCTGCCCCACTCTGACTTAAATACCTTCTGCGATTTGTTAGGCTACGCTGGTTTATTTTTATTACTCTGCACTGGAGTTCATGGAGTTGGGGGGGAGGGAGGCACGAAGGTCCCTGCCACCTTCTTGCTGCTGTAATCCTCTCAGTTGTTATGCCTTGTCTCAAGGTGTCAACTTCAAATAAAATCAGAAAATGTTATCTGGCTCCGTGTCAGATTGTGTCACTATAATCTAGTTGCTTTGGGTGATTGTTTTTCCTGTCTTGAGGGAGATGGATTTAATGAAGCTAAGTGTGACATTCATTCTCCTGTGGAGCCCCTGCATGCTGCTGCCTACAGATCTTATCGTCCTGCCCACTCGTGCTTCAGCTTTGCCCTGTGACATCCTTGCTCTCAAAATCCTTGTCAAACCTGGGGCAGAGAATGTTGCTGGTGACTGCCAAACTGGCTGTGTGCTGCTGAGGGAGAACGTGTGTCTGGCACTGCCTTCCCTCCTCCCCAGGAATGGCCTCTTACCACGGTGCAAACCTAAACTTTTCTTTAAAAAATTAGAAATCACACTGTCACTGATATATCTCCAAACTGACCTGTGAGGAGCTGGATGCTGCTTTCCCTATGGAGGAGAAAATGAAAGAAACAGCAAAAAAAAAAAGTATAAAAAGTTGTTTCAAGAAAGTAGAATCAATATTTATGCTCACTGCAGGGTGCAGATTTTAGTTTAATTAAGAGCAGAGAAGATTTAGGTTGGATCTTTTGAAAAACTTTCCACAGCCTCATGGTTGCTGCACTTCACCTGACATCTCCTCTCGCAGAGGCTCCTATGAAGCCGGCCGGACGCCTGCTGCTGGGAAGACATCATCCCTGGCCCTGCGTGGCACCGGTAGCTCAGGCAGCAAGTGCTGCCTGCCCAGCCTGTAAAGCTCTTTGGCACCTTTCTTTTTGAACACGTATTTTTCTCAGGCAAATAATTTACATTGGCAGCACCATGCAACCCAGGTGTTTTAAAAAGGCACAGCCATGTTGTAAGTCTAAGCTGCTAATTTACTTTATAAAATACAAGATAGCGTACTGATGCTATACAGAATATGTCTTGCTTTGGGCAGGCAGATGAAAATATAATTGATGAAAACATGATATCAGCAGGTTTCATGATTTAAAATGCAGAAATGTTTACCTTGATCTGCTTAAAGCCAGAAAAAAGGGCCACGTAGTGCTGTGGTTCTTTAATTCTGTATGCGAAATTATACAAGGGTGGCCTGTATTTCTCTATGTTATAGATTCAGCCACTTCCCATAGCACAGCACTTCCTTATCCCGGCTAATGTGAATTTAAATTGTTGCCAGTGCTCCTTCAACAACGTAAGTGGACGCTGATTTTTCTTCAGTAACCTCGGTGCTCCGCCAGCATCTGTGGAGCTGGGGCCATGAGCGCCGGCAGGATCTGTGCCTGGGGTTTTGATTACAGCTGGGAGGAGAGCGAGTGCTGCTTTGGCTTCTCATCATTTTTTGGCTTGTAGCTTTTTTCTTCCTATGGGAAAGGGAGAATTATTTTTGCTGAGGTTCTTACTGTCTCTTTTGGAAGGTACTTTTTCAAATGCTGGTGCTATTTCTATGTACTATTTTTAGAAGCAAACAAAGCCCATCTTATCTATGCACTTTGTCTTGGAGAATTGTATCTCCTGGCTGTTTCCCAGAGCAGCACTGAAGCTGGACTGGAAAGTGTCCTGTCGTGTAGAGGGTAAAGCGGATTAATCCATTGTCCTCATTAATGGAAGAACAATCTTTAAAAGCACCTGTACCCACCGTGTGGTCTGTGCTGTGTGCCCTGTGAAGCACAGCCGGGTGGCGATGGCTTAGCGGTGCTGGGTGAAGCACTTTGCTGCAAGCGGAGAATTTTCAGCATGTTCCCAGTTGAAATAAGTGTTGTTAGGTGGAGCAGGATGTATGTGAACAGAGTGCTGATGCTCAGGTTAATGGACCCAGATCTGCTGCTACTGACCAAAAAAATCAGTGGCAGCATCATGCACCCATTGGTTTCCTTTATGCAGTTGGTATCATCATTTCCTTCTTAATCCTGCCCTCCATGGGCTGTGGTTAGCTTTTAACGTTTCATTTGCTGACCTGTCCATTTTTGTCATAATGTGGCCTGAGGTTTTTGACCCTTCCACAGGGGCGACCAGCATTGCAGGGTTGTCCACTAGTGGGGTCCTGTGGATTGGAGTCATTCCTGCATGAGCTCTAGAGGAAACCTCAATCCGCAGCTCTGCTGCTTGGATGGATCTGACTGAGGTAGGAATCAGTTACAGCCTGAAACAGTAACTGTGTGCAATTCTGTAAATGCTAAGTTCATGTGTTTGGCAAGCGCTGTTGGGAAATAGGGGAACTCTGTATATACTGTTGGGAAATATGGGAACTCTGTATATACTTCCCTCTGTCCCCCACTTGGCTCTTGAGAAGCTTGACATTGTCAACATATGACCATTTTGGCATCACAGGAAGATTTTCGGAGGACTGTTCTACTTTGAGTCTTGCTAACCACCCTGATTTTCACCTCTCATTCCTCACTTGGAATTTGGTCCAATGTGAGCTGGAATTTTGCACTAATGAATCCTCCAGGCTACACTGAAAAAAACAGGATGGCTCTCCTCTGTACACTTGCATCTGCAGCATGGTGCAGCTAAAAAACACATGAATTATTAAAATAGATGTTTTGCAGAAAACAATCCTGAAACAGATAAGAAAATGAATTATTCATTGTTTTCCTTAGTTTGCGGCAGTGCAGGTTTTCTATAAGACTTGCCAAAGATTAGACAGGAATCTTCCTACAAGATCATGTAGGAATATAGCAAGACTGGCTTTATGCTTTCCCCTGTGAGCAGCACACATAGAAATGAGGTCATTACTTATTCTAGTAAAGGAAACTGTTCTTCTCTATATAGAATAATAATTAGAAAAAGTGGTTTTTTTTTTCTTCACTATGAGGGTGGTGAGGCACTGGAATGGGTTGCCCAGAGAAGCTGTGGATGCCCCATCCCTGGAAGTGTTCAAGGCCAGGTTGGACGGGGCTCTGAGCAACCTGATCTAGTTGAAGATGTCCCTGCCCATGGCAGGGGGGTTGGAACTAGATGATCTTTAAGGTCCCTTCCAACCCAAACCATTCTATGATTCTATGATTTAGCTCTAAAACCTCCAAGCAACA